CTACTGGAAACATTCTGTCCTGTTTTTATAAAAGTTTTGATATTGTCTGCTGTTTTCGGGGCATTCAGTAGTTATTTTTCTCATTTATTGATTGTAGATTTGTTTGTTTCGTCCCTTTTTTGAAAAAAAAATTTGACCATGTCTGAGCAGGTGGACTGTGTGTTCTTTGTTGTTTGCTTGTCTCTGCGCTCATTAGTTTTCGCGTCCTTCTCCAACTGGCAGGTTCAGTCACTCGGATATGGTACGGCAGGGCAGGTCTAGCTGAAGAGGAGTTACTGGGACGGGTTTTTTGTGGCACTTACTACAGCCACCAGAGCGGGTCGGTAATTAGTGCAGGGCAAGTTCCAGTAGGCTCTGCCTGTGCTTCTTGGTGGTGTGATGTCAAGCGTATGGTGCAGGTAGGCAGGATGCAGCGGGGAGATTGTTCTGTGTGGAGCTAAGATGGATATGGGATAGAGGAGAGAGGAACAGGAGCCAAAAACATACAAACAAACAAAAAAGAATGCCTAGGGAGCTTGCCGTTGGAGTGGAGAGATGAGAGACTATGAAATGGAGAAAAACAGAAAGGGGAAGAGGAAGAAAAGAAAAGAATGAGTAAATAAAAATCAGAAAGGTTAAAGAACTGCAGAGTTCCCAGGGATCCCACCGGCGTAGCTATGAGTTCTGGGGAAGTTGCTCTCAAGTGTTGCAGTACAGCCTGGCTAGAAGGCATAGAGGTATACAACACCAGGTATTCAGGGAACAGAAAGAGAAGGAAGATGTAGAGAGACGAGAAACTGAGCAATGAAGAAAGACAAAAAGGGAAAAAGAGGGAAAAGAAAAGAAAACAAATTTAAAAAGAAATGAACAAGAAAGGTCCCCCAAAAAACAGGAAAAAAACAAAAAATGAACAAAGAAAGAAATGCCCTCAGGGATCCCTTTGCACGCCTGTGGAAGCCGAAGGGGAGTCTCCTTGCCACGCAGCTCCGCCTGGCCAGAAAGGGCTCGCAACTCAAGAAAAGGAAAAGAAAACAAACAAACAATTCTAAACAAACAAATGAACAAAAGCCCCAGGATCCCACCAGCGCGGTAGCCCAGACTGAGAAGCAGCTCCACACTCGAATGGAGCTCCGCAGCCCCTCAGGAAGAAGCAGAGATGGCTCACGGAGCCAGGCCCTCAAGCGAAAGGCGGGGAGGCAGCGAGAGGCAAGCAAGAAATCAAAAGAAGCAGAAAAAGAAAAGCAACACCAGCAGCCAACAAATGACACTCAGAGAGCCAGCTAGTGTGGGCTGCTGTTTCTGGACAAGAGAGTTTGTCTGCTGGAAGCAGAGGGGGCCGTGTGTTGTTGAAGAAGGGTAAAGAGTGGGAAAGCGTATATCACAAATTACCAGCACTCTGTAGCCTGTCAGGAAGAAACAAAGATGGCACACGGAGCCAGGCACTTGAGTGAAAGGACGGGGAGTTGGTGAGAGGCAAGGAAGAAATCAAAAGAAGCAGAAAAAAAAAAGCAACACTAGCAGCCAACAAATTGCACTCAGAGAGCCAGCTAGTGCGGGCTGGTGTTGTTGGAGAAGAGACTTGTGTCCACGGGAAGCGGAGGGTCCGAGTGTGGGTGAAGAAGGGTAGAGACTGGGAAAGCGTATATCACAAATTACCGGCACTCTGCAGCCCCTTAGGAAGAAGCAAAGATGGTGCACAGAGCGAGGCACTCGAGCGAAAGGTTGGGGAGACGGCAAGAGGCAAGGAAGAAAGCAAAAGAAGCAGAAAAAAGTAATACCAGCAGCCAACAAATGGCACCCAGAGAGCCACCCACTCGGGTATGTGGAATCCAGGCAGCCGGTGCTTCCCGGTCAAGAGACCGTGGCTGCGGGAAGCAGAGGAGGCCGAGCCAGGACGAAGAGGGGTGGGCTGTAGGAAAGCACACACCGCAAATTACTGGTTGTTTTGTCTCCTGCTGGACGCTGTGTGAGGCTGCTTTCTCATACCCCCATTTGCTGGTCTCTGATAGGAGTCCAAGTTGGTAGATCCGCACTGCGGTAGGTGGTAGGGGACCTCTGCATGAATCTCTCCTCGCTCTCCGTTCTCTGTCAGTTTTCTCAGTGCATTTGGTACTTGGCTGAGTTGTTTATCTCTTCATTTGATGTTGTAGGGTTTCAGAATTGTCGTATTCTCTGTTCGGCTTAGTTTTTCGGATCTTTGCTGTGGAGGGACGGCATGGTGCTTCTGCCTAGAGTGCCTTTTTGCCGGCACTCTCTCCATGACTACATTTTTTACATCCATCTTTTTTGTTTTAATATTGTCATCTTTTACATATTAACATCTGTTTCCCTATTTTCAGTGTTTTAGCTTTGATTCATTTTTGTGACTTCCCTGTCTGGGTTGATATCTGGTTGCTCTGTCCTGTGTTCTAGTTTGGGTTGTTGTCTGATGTTACTGATTTTCTCACTGGCGGACTCCCTTTAGTATTTCCTGTAAGTTTGGTGTGGTTTTTGCAAATCCTCTAAACTTCTGTTTATCTGGAAATGCTGTAGTTTCGCCATCATGTTTGAGAGACAGTTTTGCTGAATATATCATTGTTGGCTGGCAGTTTTTTTCCCTCGAGGCATTATATTTGTCATCCCATTGCTTAGTCTTATTGATTCCTGTGTATTTGACTTTTCGTTTATTCCTAGCTGCTCTTAAAATTCTCTCTTTGTCTTTGGTTTTGGCAAGTTTGATTATAATATGTCTTGGTGACTTTCTTTTGGGATCTACCTTATGTGGGGTTCGATGAGCATCTTGGATAGATATCTTGTTATCTTTCACAGTATTAGGGAAGTTTTTTGTCAGCAAATCTTCACTAATTCTCTCTGTATTTTCTGGTATTCTCCCCATTCTGGTACTCCCATCACTTGTAGGTTATTTCTCTTGATAAATTCCCACAAAATTCTTAGGGTTTCTTCATTTTTTTTAATCCTTGTATCTGATTTTTCCTGAAATAAGTTGGTGTCACGTGCTTTATTTTCAGTCTCACTGATTCTGACTTCTATTGCCTCAATTCTGATCCTATCACTTTCTATTGGGTTGTCTAATTCTGAAATTTTATTTTTAATCTTCTGGATTTCTGATTGCTATCTGTGGATTCTTGCAGCCTGTTAAATTTGTCATTATGTTCTTCTCTAATTTTTCTAATTTCCTCTATTGCATGTTTTGTGTTTTGCTTAATTGCATTCCTAATTTCTGGAAGAGTTCTGTATATTAATCTTTTGTATTCTGCCTTTGGTAATTCCAAGAAATTTTCCTCCTCTGGAAAATTTCTAGACTCTTTATTTTGGGAGGTTGCTGAAGCCATCATGGATTGCCTCTTTATGTGATTTGATGTTGACTGTTGTCTCTGAGCCATCAATAAGTCATTATATTTATTTTTGCTTACTTTGTCCTAGCTTCTTGTTTTGTTTTGATATGCCCAAATAGACTGCTCATATGATCTAGTCTGATTGTTGGCCCCTTTGAAGCTGTAATGTCCTGTCACCAGGTGGTTAGATCTGTTACTCGGTGTATGAGCTCAGTAGTCCGCCCACTCCTGTATGGATTCAGCTCAGGTGCCCAGGTAGATAGCCACCAAGTGTGTGGTGTAGGCTCTCACCTGCAGTCCTAGACAAGCATGGGTGATTGGTATAGGCACAGGCGTCTGGCTGTAACAGGGGGACACACTCTGAGCAAGACAGGGGGCTGACAGCCGCCCCTGAATGTTCAGAAGGAAGACGTGTCCCTGTTCCCTGGAGAGCATAGGTGGGTGGGTTTTGCAGCCAGAGTATTATCACCCAGTGCTGTTGGTTGTAAAGTTTCAGGGGCACCTCTTATTCTTGGGCCCAATCACAGGTGGCTAGGTGGCGTGAGTGGAGGCACCAGTCCTCGGGCCTCTTAATGGGCAGAGCAGTGTCAACTGTCACGAACCTGCCACTTTACAGCTGAAACAGTTTGTTAGACTTTAGGTATATAACCTTTTGTAGTGCGGTAATGTGGGCCTACGCTCTTGAGATGGGCCCACTCATGTCTCTGCAGGGGGAAGGCACTCAAAATCCGTGGAGCCCTTATGCCTGCGCCTAGCCAAAGGAGCTATGCCTACCCTGGGTTCCTGGCTTAGGGGCGCCGGCTGTTTATTTTTTCTCCTGTTTGTTAATTTGTTCAGTCTCCAAGGCTGGGAGAATGGCTCAGGGCATGTGACGGATCCTACTTCTGGCCCAGGGGATTCAGCAATTGCTGAAGCCCGTCCGGGACTCATGGCAGAGCAGGGAGCGGGGAGGTAAATCGGAGAGAGGTTTTTCCCTAAGGGGGTGGTTTTTTATTATCTTGGTAGGCCGTACACAAGTACTTACCTTTTGCCGATCTTGGGCTGCTTGTCACTGGTTCTTGGTGGCCGATTAGACTCTCTGGCACTGGGTCTCTCTTGGTGTGGAAAACATGCCTCCTGAGTACGGCTTCTTGCCTGCCTCACCGCTCACCCACGAGCTGCTCAGGCCTGAAGAGCTCAGGTTCTTGCCCAGTCACGTCTGGCAACTCCTCGCTGCTTCCAAACCATCTCTCCCTCCCCCTGCCACTCAGTCCAGTTCCTCAACTTTGTCTTAGATGTTCAGGGCTCCCAGAGTGTCATATATAATTGATTCACTTGTTGTTTCGGGTCTTTGTTGTAAGAGTGTCCACCAGAAATATCTTGACTACTCCGGCATCTTGGCCCTGCATCTCCTATATAGAGTTTATTTGAGGAAGAAAAGACTTCAGGAAAACTTAATATTATTCTGAATTTTCTCCATTTTTATTCCTCTCTTCTTTAATTTTCAATCGCTTACAATGTTAATATCTTTTATTGTACTAGAGATTTGATTAAATAGTAGACAGTTCTGACTACATTTTACTCCATCTTGTTTTATTCTAATTTCTCTTTGAGGAAGCCTAGAATTTGTAACTCCTTAACTTGATAGTAAAGCATTAATTATATCATTTGTTTTTAAAAAATTAAACCTTTTTTTTTAACTATTAGGCAAAGTATAAAGAAGTAAAGGCAAGAAATGCACAGTTATTGAAAATGCTTCAGGAAGGTGAAAGTAAGTGATTTGTGTGTTTTAGAATTTAAAAGTTTATCTCGAATAATATTTGAAGATAATGTTTCAAGATAGATGACTTACCAACTGAAAAAAATGAAAAGGTTTCCTTCCCAGAGTGACACAAACTGGATAGTTGCTGATAATTTCTATAGTACCTTAGTATTATACAAGTTTAGGACTATTCACGTAAGAAAGACTCTTGAAATTTCAATTCTTATAGATTACTGGACTTCATTTGGAAGGAAAACAAAACATTTTGCTTTTGAATTATTGGAGGAGAGGGCCTATCATCACTTTCCTTCTCATCATTTCTTTCCTTCTCCCCTCCCCACCTTCATTTCTTTGCTGCCGCTCTAAAGTTTTGACAGTAAGTCACCAGCAGGACGTCAAGAATATCAATGAAAAAATGATCAGAGATAATAAATAAGATTATAAATAATATAAAGAAGTATATTAGATGGGGGTAAAAAAACCAGCCACTATCAAGTTGATTCCAGTTCATGGTGACCCCATGTGTGTCAGAGTAGAACTGTGCTCCATAGTTTTCAGTGGCTGATTTTTGGAAGTAGATTGCCAGACCTTTCTTCTGAGGTGCTTCTGGATGGACTCGAACTTCCAACCTTTTAGTTAGCAGCTGAGCATATTAACCATTTGACCACCCAGGCACTCCATGAAATTCCCCCAAATCCATTGTATTCCTGAATAGGTATTCCTAGTGATACTTAACTTGAAACTTCTGTGAAAAATTTCTGTTCACAACATAAGAGGAAGTGTGTATTAATTTAACTTTTAATATGAGATTTATGCAAAGGAAATTATAAACCATAAAAAAGACATAGAGAGAAAGACATGAATTAATGGAGAAAATCTTCTGAATAGACAAGATTAAGTATAATAAACAATTTTTCTATTGATAAATGTTAATGAAATCCCAAATGTTTTTCCCATGAGTACTGTATAGCAGTTAAGAAACTATGAAGCTCACCTTGAAGAGTAAGTTAACAAGATAACCAAAAATTGTTTTCAAATGTGAAAATAACAGGAATGGAATTGCCCAAATAAAATTTAAACTATATTAAAAACAGGTTATCAAAAACAATATGAGTCAAAACCAGAAATTGTGTCTAGTTGAACAGAATGTATAGTTCTGAAGTAGATTATAACTATTATGTAACTTAACTATGACAACAATAGAATTTAAAGAACAGTGAGGCAAGGGATTGTTTGGAAAATCAGATATTAACATCCTATGATTTATTTAGATGTTTACATGTGATTGAATTCCATGTGGGTCATTTAATTTATTTTAATATGATGAACATTTAATTCAATGAACAAAATTATGAGAATAAAAAAATTGAATTGTTTTGAGGATATATTTCTAACTGAAGAAATGAAAGATGTCATTGGGCATTGGATGTATAATTTTTAAATTCGTAAAAATAAAATAATATTCCTCCAAAATAAATCATTTGTGGAAAATCAGAAAGTTAACTGATAAAAGCTTACTCTCAAAACTGGATTAAAATTGGCTACCAGTAAAGAACATCAGTGCCCATATTCTACACTATAAATAATCCAAGTAGAGGAACTTCATGTAAGATTATTACATGAAAATACTTACAACATTCTTTATAATGTTATAATGCAATATATGTGTTCCTAAAAATCACTGCACTGTGCAAAAATCACACAATTAAAACCGTAAGTTATGGGAAAAATGAGGTTAGGTGCATAACACTCAAAAACTTTTAATAATTCTGAGAGACCAGAGGTTATGTGATCAATTATGAGATACATATATTTGACAGTGCTTCATTGGTATTCAAAGTCAGGTAAAAATGATTTTGTTGGCCGTATTGTATGCTGCCCCCAATTTAAAGAAAAAACATTCTACATTGTTTTAAAAATCTTGCTTTTAAGATTAGTCAGGGTATTTAGAGTTTTTCCCTACGTGAAATTTCTTATTTTTTTATGTCCTTCCCCCATTTTGTGTAGATGGAAAAAACACATCTTTCATCATTATCTGTAAAGTTAATATTTTAACACCACAGAAAATATAAAATGATAAGAATTTATCTGTCAGAAATAAGAGTCAAGAAGTACATTCGTTAAGTGTGAGGACAGCAAATCATTATTCTGATTGCACTGCTATGTCTTGGTTCACTAAAATATAAAGTATTTGAATGATTGGAAAGATTATTATAGTGTTGTTTTTCCTTTTTGTCAGTGAAAGATAAAGCAGAAATACTTCTGCAAGTTGATGAATCACAAAGTATCAAGAATGAGCTAACCATACAGGTAAGGAAAACTAGAAATATATGAGTGGTTTCTTAAGGTATTCTTTAGTCCTGAGTTATTAACCTTGACTAAACAAAAATGTAGCCCATCAACTTTGCAAGAAAGTGATATAAATCATGCTTTATTCTTCTTGTAGCAAATAAGGGAAGATTCTGTTTATTGTGCTGTGGGATGTAGATATGTCCTGAAGAACGGGGGAAGATAAGGTTATATTTTACCTGATGTGGACTGTGAGGTAGAGATTGAGAGGGCAGAGGGAACTTATCCTTTTCACAGACTTGATTTTCTTTCCTTAACATCCATATTCTGTCTTCTCTTCTTTTAGAATACTGGGCTTGTTCTAGCTATAAAACTGTATAAAAAAACCAAAAAACAAAATCAAACCCGTTGCCGTCAAGTCAATTCCAACTCCTAGTGACCCTGTAGGAGTAAAACTGCCCCATAGGGTTTCCGAGGAGCGTCTGGTGGATTCAAACTTGCCGACCTGTTGGTTAGCAGCTGAACTTCTAGCCACTGCACCACCAGGGTTTCCATACGGCATGTTTTAATTGAAATTGTGCAGACTTTTCCTCTTACGATAACTTGATCATCTAGTGTTAAAAAAAAATCATTATTGACCATTATTGTGAAAAGTTTTACACACAGAAAGAAACAATCTTTGATGGTTCTGAGGGAGGGGAGGGTTGCGGGTGGGGAATCACTAACTAGATAGTAGACAAGTGTTAACTTTGGTGAAGGGAAAGCCAGTACACAATATAGGGAAAGTCAGCACAACTTGACCAAGGCAAAGCCATAGAAGTTTCGTAGATATATGCAAACACCCTGAGGGACTGAGTTACTGGGTCCAGGGGCTGGGGACCATGGTCGTGGGGGTCATCTAGGTCAATTGGCAAAACATAGTTCATAAAGAAAATGTTCTACATCCAACTTTGACATTTTTTTTTTGTACTTTAGGTGAAGGTTTACAGAACAAATAGTTTCTCATTAAATAGTACACATGTTGTTTTATGACATTGGTTAACAGCCCCACGACATGTCAACACTCTCCCTTCTCAGCCTTTTTTTTTGGTGAAAATATACATAGCCAAAGATATACCATTTCAAAATCTACATCCAGCTTTGATGAGTAGCATCTGGGGTCTTAAAAGCTTGCTAGCGGCTAAGATACATCTATTGGTCCCATCCCATCTGGAGCAAAGGAGGATGAAGAAAACCAAAGACACAAAGAAAATATTAGTCCAAAGGACTAATAGACCACAAGTACCACAGCCTCCACCAGCCTGAGCCCAGAAGAACTAGATGGTGCCCAGGTACCACCACCAACCGCTCTGATAGGGACCACAATAGAGGGTCCTCGACAGAGTGGGGAAAAAAATGTAGAACAAAATTCAAATTCACAGAAAAAAAAAAAAAGACTAGACTTACCGGTCTGACAGAGACTAGAGTAACTCCCAAAACTCTGGCACCTGGATACCCTTTTAACTCAGAACTGAAGCTACTCCCAAAATCCACCTTTCAGCCAAAGATCGGACAAGTCTATAAAACAAACAGTTACACGTGAGGAACGTGCTTCTTAGTTCAGTCATGTATATGAGACGAAATGGGCAACATCTGCCCGAAAGCAAAGACGAGAAGGCAAGAAGGGACAGGAAAAATGGGCAGATGGAAATGGGGAGCTTGGGGTGGGGAAGGGGAGAGTGTTGACACATCATGGGGACTGCAAAAAATGTCACAAAACAGTTTGTGTTTGAATTGTTGAATGAGAAACTAATTTGCTTTGTAAATTTTCACCTAAAGTACAATAATAAAGAAAAAAATCAGTGTGAATAAGTGTTAAGAATTAGATTATTTGTCTAAAAAGACAAAAAAAATTTTTTTTTTCTCATTGAATATTTGGTTATAGGTGACTTCACTTCATGCTGCATTAGAACAAGAAAGATCTAAAGTGAAAGTATTACAAGCAGAATTAGCCAAATACCAGGTATGCTTTTATAATTTGATGTGATTTCATCACAAATAGTACGTTTGGGGTAGGTACTCTGTAAGAAGCAATTGCGCTATTTTATTCTTAGGCCAAAATCTGTTCAGTAAATAATAATTTTGTTATTATCGGTCAAAATAACTTAACATTTTAGATACTGTTAAGGTTATCCTAGATATTGTTATATAAAACAATAATTAATTCAAGAAAATCCTTGGTACCACATAGATATTGTGTCATACGTGGCATATGAAGGGAAGACACATGACATTTGACTCATTGATAACAATAAGTTTGATTGCATGAGGAAGGTAGTACCTGCTAGATATCTCCATTGTAAAGGTGTCTTTTCCCCCTTATTAATTAATAAGTAAAATGTGGGGTGATACTTTGAGACTGTGTGCATATCCTTTTCCCCAACACCTTTTCATCCAATGGTTTTAGCATCCATTGATGGTCTTTGTTTCAGTTATTACTTCGGTGGTTGCAAAATAGTGATTTTCAAATTCTTTCATTGCTTCACAGAATGTATTCAGCTTGCATACAGCATTTTTTTTCTGGATGAAACAATAAAAAATATCAGCGCTTAGTTTCAATATGTATATGTATACATTTATATATTTTTAAATATTTGTATATATGTATGTACGTGTGTCTAAATCATAATGTGGAATGCATTAATTAATGTGGGATAAAAGTCGAAAAAGTTGGAAAGCCACTGATGACCTGGAGAACATAAAAGTAGTTTAGCCTAATTTTGAAACCTAATTGGTCCAGGCGGGAGCACACCTTTTGCTTGGGAAGCTTTGTAAAGGATCTTGCTATGTTTTGTGTTGTTTTTTTGTTTTTTAATTCTAGTTGAGAAGCAAGGTAAGTGTTTTAAGCTATGTAGTCTTGGTACTATATAAAATGGGTATCTACCTTATAGAAAAAATTTGGTAAATTTATTTTCCTGCTGTCTAACAGGAAATAAATTTTGTTTTTAATACATGTCATTACGTATTTCAAGTTCCACATAACCTATTTTCATACTTGTTTTCTCTGAATGAATCTTGGTTGAACTTCTGTGTGGTCAGGAAAGAATAACAACTGCATTTTTGTGTGTGTGTGTGCGCGATCTAAGTGAAAGTTTACAATTCAAGTTAGTCTCTCATACAAAAACGTACGTACATTGTTACGTGACCCTAGTTGCTCTCCCTGTACTGTGACAGCACACTCCTCCTTTCTACCCGATTTCCCATGTCCAGTCAACCAGCTCCTGACCCTCTCTGCCTTCTCATCTCACCTCCGGACAGGAGCTGCCCGTTTAGTCTCATTTTTCTATTTGAGCTAAGAAGCACATTCTTCACGAGTATCATTTTATGTCTCACATTCCCATTTTATGTCTAATCTTTGTCTAAAGAGTTGGCCTCAGGAATGGTTTTAGTTTTGGGCTAACAGACAGTGTGGGGGCCATGTCTTCTGTGGTCCCCTTAGTCTCAACCAAACCGTTAAATCTGGTCTTTTTACTAGAATTTGAGTTATGCGCCCCGCTTTTCTCCTGCTCCGTCAGGGATTCTCTGTTGCGTTCCCTGTCAGGGCGGTCATTGGTGGTAGCCAAGCACCATCTAGTTCTTCTGGTCGAAGGCTGATGAAGTCTCTGGTTTATGTGGCCCTTTCTATCTCTTGGGCTAATACTTTCCTTGTGTCTTTGGTGTTCTTCATTCTCCTTTGCTCCAGGTGGGCTGGGACCAGCTGATGGATCTTAGATGGCCGCTCGCTAGCTTTTAAGATCCCAGACACCACTCACCAAAGTGGGATGCAGAACATTTTCTTTATAAACTTTGTTATGCCAGTTGACCTAGATGTCCCCTGAAACCATGGTCCCCAGATCCCTGCCCCTACTGCTCTGTCCCTCGAAGTGTTTGGTTGTATTCAGGAAACTTCCTAGCTTTGGTTTAGTCCAACAACTGCATTTATTGTTTAAGAAGGTTGATGTAAAAATGTTTTGACTGCCAAGAGGCGAGGTATAGACAGAAGGAGGAAAGAAAGAAAGAAAACCTGACACCCTTATTAAATGACTCTGGCCTCCACACGCCGCTGATATAGCTACCACTTTAAGAAATGCATTTCCACAGACAAATAGTTCCCAAACTTGACTGATCATCAGAATCAGTTGGGACACTTTTTGAGTTACTGATTCTTTCAGCCACTTCTAGTAATCCTAATTAAGTAGTTCTGGGACAAAGCCTAGAAATGAGAATTTTTAAAAATATTGCTACTTAAGTGACTCTAATGATGAACTATGTTTGAATACCATTGCCATAGTTTATAAAAATGGGAGAAAAACCATGAAACAACTGTAAAATAAATATATCAAACCATTATTTATGGTTGCTTTGGGGGTGGAGTTAGTTATGGGTGATTTTAATTTTCTTCTTTGTACCTTTCTGCTTTCCAAATTTCTACAATGAGTGTTTGGTTTTTAAATCAGAATAAGGCAAAAAATTTTATGTTAAAATAATTAATGTAAGGTTCTTCTTGTCTTTTAAGCTGCCTTTCTCTTTCCTTGACTCAACTCAGATACCATAGATGGAGTTTCATATAGAGCAAATAAAATACAGATTTGTATATGCTACTGAGCCGTGTAAAAAGTATACCCTACTTTTCAATCCAGTGATGAACAAAATCAGATTTCTGATGATGTCAAATATGAAGAAGACTAGGAAGACAGAACTTGAATTATAAATTGAATAATAGATAATGAACTGAATTACCAAATTTGCTGATCATATGGAGCAAATTAAGTGTAATTTATTTTCGTATTGACCAAAAACTTTATTTTCAGCAAGTCTGGGACAGTCAAAATGAGCTTTGAAAAAATAAGATGTCATCTTACTAAGAGACTAATTCAAGTAGATATGACTTTTTTTTTTGCAATTTCCTCTAACAATTTGTAAAAATAGCTACATAAAAATAATTTACTGATATGCACACTTAAATTTACAACAAACTAAAAAAAAAATTGCTTCCTTCTTATACCCCAAAATGCCTTTTGTGTCATGTATTCTTAATATGAAAATGACCCCAAAATGATATTTTCTGAATAATTTGCTTTATTTTTCTTTACAGGGTGGCAGAAAAGGGAAAAGAAACTCTGAATCCGACCAGTGTAGGTGATTAACATTTGAGGTCAACACAAAAGTTAAAACTTTCAGGTTTTACAAAAATGTATATATTTAATGCTGTGCAACTGCTAAACTATGCAGTTTTTGTTGAAGAAACTAAAAATGACTAGCTCACTAATAGTCTATAATTTTATGTTCTTTTGGCTTAAAGTGAGAAGAAGAAAAATACAATTTCAGCAGAACTCAGTGATTATTGTTTACTGTCCATACTTCTTATCACTTTAGTTTTTCATCCATCAATAAAATTTACTCTTCCACTAATATGTTTGATGTTTTTTTAAGTTTCAGAAATAATGTGAAAGTATTAGTTTTGCTTATAGCACAGTCAGTTAATTGGATCATTTCATTTCAGTGAATATTTACTCAGCACTTTTCTTCATGCTAAACTCTATAGGAATACGAGATGAGTAAAATATGGTTGATGCAAGTAGCTCATGCTCAGAGGAAATAGGGGATGAGGACTGGTAAAGATAAGAGTAAAAATAATTACCATACATATTAGAGTGTGATATCACATTGTTTGGAAATTGAGAATGCTTTAATGAGAAAGTTTTTGGAGGGTGGATACTATTTCTGTAAATTTGTTGAGAGGCATTTCAGGAAAAAGGAACAAAATCTGAGCTTGTATATAGAACAGTGTAGCTTGAGGACAGTAACATGACACTGGGCACTGAAAGCATATGTGTGTGTGGGAGGGATGAATAGAGTTTTTATAGATGGAATCAATTATTACTTGTTTATAGAATTCCTTGTTTTAGTGTAGTCAGTGAAATATTATGATTCATTAAAATAAATATTTTTTCTAATGACAAAGATGAACACATAAATATTGGTTGGTCTTGGCCTCCAAAACCAGAATTATATAAAGGATTCCACTTCATGACAGTCTTTGGTTGCTTATATGTCTGGCTTCCTCCATAATGTTGTATGAACCTTGCACAGAACTGTGACTTATTGCTCCTTCTGTTCCCAGTACTTAGCTTGCTATGTGGCACAGAGTAGCTATTAAAGAAATATTTGTTTAATTAAGTGCCAAAACTTTTAAAAATAGTTTGTTCTTAATTTTACGTTTAATTAAGACTAGGCACCATCAATACCTAATTAATTTATTAAACATGTATGGTAATATTCTATGATAACATACTTTTCAACCTGGTGATGAGTAGAATCAAATTTCTAATGCTGTCTTACACGAACAAGGCTAGAAGACAGAACTTGAATTAGAATAGTTTCAATTATAATTGCATTGTCCAAGTAGTTTAATGAATTGAATTACTAAAGCTTACTATATTATCATCTGCTCTCGATAATTGACCTGCACATTATCTATTTGGTATGGTATCTAGCACATTATACAGGGCTTGGCACATGACACTCAACACATAAGCCAGTTTTTACTAGTGTATATGTTAATTAAAAATTACCTGGACGCATAGAAAACTCTTAATTGATTATCATTTTTTTGTGTGTTGGGTATTCACTAGAATACTATATTTGTAGCTCCTTCCCGCCCTCCACCCCCTAACTGAACCCGAAAAGGTGAGTTCTGTCCAGTGTGCTCAGATTCACCAATAATCTGGACAGTGGTCTTTGAGAAAGTAACTTTCTTGAAATGAGCAGTACGAGGAGCCAGGAGAAACTTCCTCAGATCTGGCTCTCCAAGCTATGGGGAAGCAGGGCTAGTATGTGATTTGGACAGCAGAATGGTGGCCATGCAGGTGTAAGGGGGCCAGGAAAGATGAGATGATGTGGTTCTTGTTGGACTTCTTCCTTCAGAATAGGGTTCGGGTGATGATTTTTCTTCTGATTCGTTCCACTGTTGATGTGTCCTCTGTTGAGGTCAGTTAGTGGTCACAGCTGGCCCTTCTGCACATGCGAAGTGGGCCAAATCTGGCTTGGACTAGTTTAAGGACTAATGGAAATTTACTGGCATTCGTAGGGTCAGGTTACACCACCTGAATTCTCTTTCCTTGATTTATGTATCTGCTCCTATCCTTTCTAGATTAATATAACAGTTTTAGCAGGAAGGAGATAGAAAAGACAGTTAGTGGTGGTCAGTCTGGTGATTTCTGTTAAAATTGCTTTCTCAGGCATTCTGTTTTAATAAACATCAGTACTTAGCTTGTTTTCAGCTTCTTGAATATTCAGTGAAATTATTGATAGCCTATTTTGTGCCATTCATTGTAGTGCTAAGTACTGGAGTTGCAAATATAAGATATCCTGGTACTCAAGGCATCCACAGTCGATTGGGAAAAAAACAAATGTAAAAAGATAATCATAATGTAATGTCATAAGTAATAATACTGGTATATACAAATTACTATTGGAATATAGAAGAAAATACTATTTTAAAGAGATATCTTAGACAATGTATTTTAATTATTTCATACTCCATTAATGTCTTATTTAAACAGTGATTATGGCAATATTGCCAAGTTAAAATTCACAAATATTCTTGACGTCTGTGGGATTTTTAATATTTTCTATAGTGTATTAGTAAGGCTAAAGGAGATAGAACCATGTTCAAGTCCCAGTTCTACTACTTATAGTTGTATGACCTTAACTCATAGTAAGTACTCAGTAAATGAATAGAGTCAATTTGGGTATCAAGTGAGAACAGAGAGTGAAAGTATTAGATAAAAAGTAAGTAAGAGCAGTCTCTGCCTTTAAGTTATTTTCAGTCTAATAGGAATAAAATGAACGTGGCACATCAGCAACTAACAATCAAGATATAGTACAGTGAATTTCACAAGAATTTTATGGTGATAAGAGAGTTCAGGAAAAATGTTACTCATGTAAGATAACATTTTTGCAATAGTTCTTAAAGAATAGGCCAACTTTCCCACAAAGTTTTAAAAGGTAGAAGGCATTCAAGGAAAGGAAAATAAAAAAGATTGGGAAGAAGGAAGAGCGATGAATCCATTCAGGGAACAGAAAGATAATGCAAAAGACGTTTTCCGGAAACAGAGTGCCTTCACTTTGCCTGGAGCATGTGTTCATATAGGACAATGTCTTAGTTATCTACTGCTGCTGTAAGAGAAATACCACAAGTGGATGGCTTTAACAACAAGAAATTTATTCTGTCATGGTCTAGTAAGCTAGAAGTCCAAGTTCAGGGCTCCAGCACTAGAGGACAGCTTTCTCAGTGGGCTCTGAAGGAAGGTCCTTTCATCAGTCTTCCCCGGTGGAGGAGCATCTCGACTCAGGAACCCCGGGTCCAAAGGACGCGCTATTATTCTAGCTCTTGTTTCTTGGTGGTAGGTGCTCCCCCTGTCTCTCTGCTTGCTTCTCTCTTTTGTATCTCAAAAGAAATTGTGTTAAAGACACAACCTAATTTTGTAGATTGAGTCCTGCTTTGTTAACATAACTGCTGCTATTTCCACCTCATTAACATCATAGAGATAGGATTTACAGCACATAGGAAAATCGCATCAGATGATAAAATGATGGACAGTCACACAATACTGGGAATCATGGCCCAGCCAAGTTAACAGATATTTTTGGGGGACACAATTCAACCCATGACAGAGAGTAATAAGAGAGCCACAAAGGTAGTTTGGACATAGCCATCATCCATCTTGTATTTCAGATTAAGAAGTCTGTACGTAATTTGGTGGGCTATGGGGAAAATATTAAAAATTTTATGGACAAAGGAGAGGTGTAATCAGTCATCTTGTAACAAGATTGAATATATAGAAAATTATAGAAGAAAGTCGGTTGGAAGACAATATAGAGGTGACTTTTATAATAGTAAAAATAGGAGGCAATGAGGATCTGAACGAGGGAGGTGGCAGTGGAATTCTGAAAATGGGATTAAAAAATGTTCCAAGGGGGAGAGGGGCAGTTTCTAACAAACTTGATGTGAAGAGTAAGAAAAAACAAAGGCTTCAGAGATAAAAACAAGACCAAACCTAGATCAGAATGAGAATGATGGTGCCACTAACAGTATCGACTGATTAAAGAATTAATATGGTGAGATGGACAGAAATGACTTTGAAATATTAAATTGGATTTGCCCACAGAGCATCTAAAAATAGAGTCCGTGAAGTTGGAAATAATAGATCTGGTTCCTTGAGGAAAGGCTGAAGTTAGGGATTTGGGATTCATCTACAATTAAGGTGTATGAATAGTTGACATTCCCAAATGAAAACTTATTTGAAGAAAAATATTGCTGAGGGAAGACTCATTAACAATATGTGTTATGCAGATGACACAACCTTGCTTGCTGAAAGTGAAGAGAACTTGAAGCACTTACTGATAAAGATCAAAGACTACAGCCTTCAGTATGGATTACACATCAACATAAAACAAAAACCCTCACAACTGGACCAGTAAGCAGCATCATGATAAACAGATAAAAGATTGATATTGTCAAGGATTTCGTTTTACTTGGATTCACAATCAACACCCATGGAAGCAGCAGTCAAGAAATCAATCAACACATTGCATTGGGCAAATCGACTGCAAGAGATTTCTTTAAAGTGTTAAAAAGCAAAGATGTCACCTTGAGGACTAAGGTGCCCCTGACCCAAGCCATGGTATTTTCAATCACCTCATATACTTGTGAAAGCTGGCCAATGAATAAGGAAGATCGAAGAAGAATTGACACCTTTGAATTGTGGTGTTGGCCAAGAATGTTGAATATACCATGGCCTGCCAAAAGAACAAATGAATCTGTCTCGGAAGAAGTATAGCCAGAATGTTCCTTAGAGGCAAGGATGGCAGGACTACGTCTCACATACTTTGGACATGTTAATCAGGAGGGAATCAGTCCCTGGAGAAGGACATCATGCTTGGTGAAGTGGAGAGTCAGTGAAAAAGAGGAAGACCCTCAGCGAAATGGATTGACACAGTGGCTGCGACAATGGGCTGAAGCATAGCAACAATTGTGAGGATAGCACAGGTCCGGGCAGTATTTCATTCTGTTGTGCATGGGGTCGCTATGGGTCGGAACCAACTCGAGGGTACCAAACAACAACAACATTGCTGAACGCAGACTTTGTGAATGGTAGGAAACAGTGGCCAGAAAGGTGGGAGGCATAGTGATAAAATGTTGTAGAGAGATCTCAGATTTCAAGCCCAAGGAAAGACTGTTCAGTTTAACAGACATGTTTATGACCTTTAAAATAGCTTTTTCAGTGGTTGGCACAGAGCAGGGTGTTGAGGAAAAAGTTAAACTCTTTAAGACTTTTGGCCCTAAGGTACGTTGAGGGGCTATAGGATTGAATGCGGATTGGTTTGTTTTTATTTAGGACAGAGAA